CTTTATTGGAGTAGTTCCCATACCCTTAACCAACCTTTCTTTCAAGCCTTGTTATTTCTTGTGTGAATGTGAGGCCTATTTCAGGATTGAGCTTGGTAGAACGTGTTAGGTTTGAGCCGACAAGAGTAGTATCTCATGTAGTTCCAAGGCAACGTTTTGGACTTGGTAGGACTAGGTGGGAACTTATATGGGGGTTGCTATTGAGTGTGAAAAAAAAAAAGAATAGAAACAGGTTAGATTCTTTAGGAGAAGGAAGCTGAAATTCATATTGATCTAGTGAATCGTCTGGGAAGCATAGAATTTGTTCTAAAAAAAAATGGCAACGAAAACATAAAAAAAAATGAATGATAAGAGCCATAGAGTTTAAGAAAAACCCAATTCACTATACTAGATTCATAGAGTTTAAGAAAAACTTCTCCTTAAGAACAGAGCCAAAAGAAAAGAAAAGATGAATTGATCCGAGAAATAATCGAGATACGCCTTTAAGTGCAAAAGGGTAGACTTAGGATCATCATGGGTTTAGAGTTAGGACCATCTACTTGTTATTCACTGTTTATGTCATTGGGTAGATGGGATGCTATTCTTGTATGCATAGGTTGGCGCTTACCTTTAGCATTCTCCTAAAGCTCATTCCCTTTTCATTGAGAGTCCCCTGTTATTGAAAGTTTAACCACCTTAAAGGGACCATCTTTGTCTCATAACCTGTCCTTAGCCAAATGAGTTCACTAACGATGCATTGCTTGATTCATGATTTTGAACTTAAATGAATGTTAAAGGGATTGGTTAATCTTGACGCTCATTGCATTCGGGAATAGGTTTACATCATAACAGAGCATGGCTAAAGTTTTTGAGTCGAAGTCAATCGCATCGCATCTTAGAACTATTAACTTGGACATTGAACTGCTTTATCTTATGCTTTGGTTCTGAGTCCCCAACTTCAAACCTCTCCTTCAGTTATGTCTTCTTATTTGCTTAAGGGCAAGCAAAGACTAAGTTTGGGGGAGTTGATGTGTCTATAATTTGCATGTTTTCTGCATTCATTCATCATCGTTTTGAGTCTTGTTTCATAACATTCATCACTGTTTCATATCATTATTCATCATTCTTGCATACTTTGCATGATTAGGATAGGTTTGCATACATTCTGCATTTCTGAGTTGTTTTCAGGTGATTTGGAGCTGTTGGCGATCAAATTGAAAGAAGCGAGCCGGAATCAACAGACTATACTCGACCACAAGGTCGAGTGCTTCCTGCAACACTTACTCGACCCTGTGGTCGAGTGACACCAGCGCCAGTCCTCCTCAATCACTCGATCACACCACTTGACCCTGTGGTCGAGTGACACCAGTGCCAGTCCTCCTCAATCACTCGATCACATCACTTGATCACACCACTCGACCCTGTGGTCGAGTGACACCAGTGCCAGTCCTCCTCGATCACTCGATCAACCACTCGACCACATCACTTTTCCATTTACTCGATCACGTCTTCAGAGCCTTCTCAAATCCGCACTCAACCAGACAAGCTGAGCATAAGGAAGAGAAGAGGAGAAAAAGAAGTGTTTGGAAGCGGTCTGGAGTTTCACTCGATCACAAGGCCCAGGCCCATTATCACTCTACGGGCCGATCAAGTGGATCACGACCCATCTCTTATCGTTTCACTTTGTTTTGTATAAATAAGTCTTCGAGGGTTTGTCCCGAGACATCAACGCTTTACATCTACGTTTTACATCCAGTTTTAGACCTAGTTTTTGTTTCGAGTTTTCATTTCTGTTTAACCTAGTTACTCTATCGCTTAGCCGCTTTGCTCCTGCAACCTTGTATTCGCTTTCTAGTATTTGATATTTCTGTTTTTGTTTCATCCTTTATCATTTCTGTTATCATGTTTTTAATCGCTTCATTGTTGTTGTCTTTTGTTATGTCTGAGTAGTGACATAGAGTTCTTAAGGATGGGATAGAATGGTAGTGGGATCCGTAGTCATTTAGATGGTTAAGTATTAGAATTGATTGAATCCCTTCTGGACTAGTTGTGTTTACTGCTTATTTCTCTCTGGCCAATTGGAATTCGATCCTAAGCATTCCCGCACCGAGAAGGTGTTCGATGGAATGCTTGATCTACTAGTTCCAGAGATATGCGTCTCTATCCCAAGGGATTGGCCGTTTAGAGCGTTTATTGACTGTAATAGGTTGAATCGTATTGCCTGCATAGTTAGATTCCGTTAATGGGAATTAGTCTGGGCTAGCTTTGCTTGAGGGTTTCTGTCACGGTAGTGAATTAATCTGTTGTTGAACCTGTTGTCTACGAATAGCTTGATTGCGCTTTGTTAACCATCTGAATAGGCTAAGGAGACCACTCCATTCGATTACCCCATCCTTAGGAATTTCTCATCTATTTGATTTCTCTGTTTACATCGCTATTGATTTATTGTTATCATTGCCTGTTTTTATATTTCTTACCTGTTTTCACTCATTCACTCGACGACATCCAGTGTCTAGCAACAGACTGTGTGGTAGAGTGCTTTTGTTGTAGTTTTTGCCTGTTACTCGACCAGTCACTCGATCACATCCTGCTCCTGGCATCAGCTAGTTGTGGTCGAGTGATTTCTGTATTTCTGCAATTTTTCTGTTTTCTGTATAATCACTTAAGAATTGTTACAAACCCAAAACATGTATTTGTTTGGCTTGACTTAGTGACTTCTGATCATATCTCATATGTTTGCATCACACCTAAAATGGATTGACAACCTTAAATACTGCAATGACATGATAGTAATTTAAAGAATTGAGAACTAGTGAAAATCCTACTATCACCCACGACCAAAAGAAACATATTGTCCTGCTATGGATGCAACCACATTTAGGTTTTTGATGAGTCTAGCAGCTGATGAAAATCTAGAAATGCGTCTTATGGATGTTGTAACAACATATCTATATGGATCACTAGATGCTAATATCTACATGAGAATTTCAGATGGATTTAAAATGCCTAAAGCATTGAACTCTATACCCAAAGAATTATGTGCAATAAAATTGCAAAGATCATTATATGGTTTAAAACAATCTGGACGTATGTGGTATAATCTTCTCAGTGAACATTTAATAAAAGAAGGGTATGTGAACAATTCTATATGCCCATGTGTTTTCATCAAGGAAACTATATCCGGATTTGTAATTATTGTAGTATATGTTGATGATTTAAACATCATCGGAACTCAAGAGGAAATACAGAAAGCAACAAACTATTTGAAAGGACAATTCGAGATGAAAGATCTCGGGCAAACAAAGTTTTGTTTTGGTTTACAAATTGAACATTCTCATAAAGAAATATTTGTACACCAATCCACATACACTAAAAGAGTATTAAAATGCTTTAATATGGATAAAGCAAATCCTCCTAATACATCAATGGTCGTTAGATCACTTAGTATTGAGAAGGATCCTTTCCGACTACATGAAGAAAATGAAGAGATACTTGATCCTGAAGTACTGTATCTAAGTGCAATTAGAGCCCTAATGTACCTTGCAAATTGTACTAAACCTGATATATCATTTGCTATTAATCTTTTAGCAAGATTCAGTTTATCCCCTACACAAAGACATTGGAATGGAATAAAACATGTCTTTCGTTACCTTCAAGGGACTACTGATTTAGGGTTATTTTACCCTAAAAACTCAAAAAGTCAAATGGTTGGCTTCGCAGATGCGAGATATTTATCAGATCCACATAAGGCCCGATCACAAACTGGATATGTTTTCATCATTGGGGGCACTACTATATCATGGCGTTCTCAGAAACAGACATTAGTAGCCACCTCTTCAAATCATGCTAAAATCATTGCACTTCACGAACCGAGTAGAGAATGTGTGTAGCTAAGATCAATAAGTCAACACATTCAATCAAGCAGTGGACTACATGTAAATACATAACCAACTATCTTATATGAAGATAATGATGCATGCGTTGCTCAGACAAAGGAAGGATATATCAAAAGCGATAGAACCAAACACATCCCTCCAAAATTCTTTTCATATACCTAAGAGCTTGAAAAGAATAAAGAAATTAAAGTGAAATATGTTCGATCATGTAACAATGCTGCATATCTCTTCACAAAGTCATTACCTACAACAACTTTCAGAAAACATGTCCATAACATTGGAATGCGCCATCAGCAAGATATTTAGAGTATTGTTCCTAGTCATTTGAGGGGGAGCTGGTGTGATAGTACTCTTTTATCTTACTATGGTTTTTACCAATAGATTTTCCTAGAAAGGTTTTTAACGAGGCAACATGAAACAAATCGCAAAGACATGAATGAAAAATGAACTCCAAGGGGGAGTGTTGCAAAAGTCAAAGACACTTGCGTATCCAACATAAAATGGAGCCCATTGTCATTTATTATATATTACAGTAAATATTGTCTATCTTTTGTACTATAAATTTGCTCTTTCACTCAGTTGTAAAGTACACCAAATCGAATACGAAAGAAAACAAACGTAAAGTTCCTTTCCATTATTACTCTCCTCCAATTATTACTCTCTTCTTTCAATCTCTTTTATATTATTCCCATTATTACATCCTTTAGAATTTTTTTTTTTTTTTTTTTTGAATAACCGCGGGTCTCCCAAAGGCTTCCTAGGCCCAAGGACTAATCCCACGAGGCTGGCAATTCCCCTATGTAAACCTGCCAGTGGCCGTGCCTCGAACCCTGGTGGCGGAAGTCACAGCTGTGACCCCTTTACCACTAGGCCACAAGACCCGGTTCCTTTAGAATTTAGAACATGAAAAGAAGAAGAATTATTAGACTATTTACAATACATTTTTTAATTTAATTACAACAGATACCAATTTCTTCCAATTTGTTTTTGTTTTTATTTTATTTTAACCAATTTCTTCCACTTAGCTCTTATTACCTGGGAAAACAAAAAAAAAGAAGAAGAAGACACTGTTACATATTTTATTAACAAATATCCGAAACAATATAAAGAAAACTTCTGGACCATATTGATTCTGGAAAGATACATACAATGGCTGCGTCGTTAGCCTCTCTTTCCTCCTTAGCTAAAGCCGGAGCACCTTCACCGTCCAACCACCATGTCAGCCACCGCCTTCTTCGTCCCCGACTCATACCTCTTACTTCCTCTGTACGCAATCTACTCTGCATCTTACTAATTACCTCGTCTTTACCATTTTTAGTCAGAATTTGAACCTCTTAAACTCTTAAGCATTGATTCTTTAAGATAAATGTTGAAGAGTTTTTGAATTTACAAGACCGTTTTTTATCAGATCGGGAAACATATCACGACGAGCTTCTCGCAGAGACATAAGTCTCAGCAGAACATTTCTGCCCTCGACACCTCTGACGGTGCCGTTAACGTGGAGGTAGACGATGATGATGACGAAGAAGAAGCGTGTGAGCTTGTTAACGGAACAGAAGTGTCTGTTGATGGTGTTGAAGGTTATCTTTTAACGGCGGTAAAGAACAATAACGGAACTGGATTGCTTCTACTCTCTGATGTCTTTGGCTTTCAAGATTCAGCCACACGCGATTTCGCTTACCGTGTCGCTTGCAATGGCTACAAGTAATCAATCTTCTCTATATACTTTATGTCTCTCAAATTCCGAAGTTTGTAATGAAATTGCAATTTTGTGTTTTTTTTTTGGTTGAGATAGTGTTCTTGTCCCTGACCTGTTTCGTGGAGATCCATGGTCGAAAAATCGACCAAAGTCCGAATACGAGGAATGGAGAAGAGGACACGACCCGAACCGTATCAGACAAGACACAACTAGCTTCACAAAATGGATGGTCGAGGAATTTGCAGCGGCTGGAATCTCCAAGAAGCTAGGAGTAATGGGGTTCTGTTTCGGCGGTGGACGTGTTGTTGACGTGTTAGCCACGGATGAGAACGGTTACTTCAGTACCGGTGTCTCGTTCTACGGTACGCGAATAGACTCGGCAGTGGCGGGAGATGTGAAAGTGCCTGTCTTGTTTATTGCTGGAGACAGAGACCCGCTTTGTGAAGTGAAGGGTTTGTATGAAATTGAGGAGAAGATTGGTGAAGGGTCAAAGGTTGTTGTGTATGAAGGAAGAGGTCACGGTTTTGTTCACCGGCCGGAGACGCCGGAAGATGATAGAGACGCGGAGGAGGCGTTTGCTCTCATGAGGAATTGGTTACATCATCATTTGATTTGAAGCCAAATATTTTTCTCTACTCTTTGTACATCCAAGTTAAAATAAAACTCGGATTCTAGTAAATACCCAAATAGAAGTTAATTAATAAGATAACTAATGAAGAGGCATTTCGAGAAAACCATAAAAATGTTCAACATGTAATCAAATCTTGTTCTCCTTCACGTAAACTAAATTGCTATGCTAATGTTTCATGGTTTGTTGAATCTGATCAAGGGGGTAGCTAAGGAATATCCTCAAACAAGTCGCCTTGGTCCAGTTGTAAAAGAGAGAAAAGTCTCCGCCACCTGGGTTCGAGAAGCATTGGCCACCGGAGTTCGAATTCTGACATGGTTTCCACGGACCCCAGAATTAGTCATTAGTCTTTGGGCCTAAAAAGTCTTTAGGATCACTTGAATTATGAAAAAAGGAATATCCTCGTTTTCAATCGTGTTTTGATGCAAAAGTAACAACTTTTATTTGGGCAATGTTGTGTTTGGACAACCTTGGAGTGGAAGAAATAATACTTGTTGAGAGTGCTCATACAAGCTTTAAAGACCCTCATACAAGCTTTGAAGAATCATCATCATATCCGGCCAAGATTACATTGGTACACAAAGGTAATCATTTGGATGGCAAGAAGGGGTTTGAAACCATTCTTCAAATTCAATGGAGTTCAAGCCAATCTTATGCTGAATTCATTGCCAAAAAAGGTTTTTCATCCTCACCTTATGTGTTATTCTTATTATAATATTCTTCATTTTTATCACCAATTTTTGCAATGGAGATCACCCAATGTATGTTCTCAAGTTCACCAAACAAAAACAAAAACAAAACAAAAAAACTATTAATTGAACATTTTGAAATATGGTTTTCGGATGACATGCATATTTTATTTATTTATTTCAACTTCAATAAGTTTTACAAAGAGAAAAGCTAGAAACTTATATAGTCGATCTAATCAAGGAAGATGACCTAATGGTCATAATCCACACAATTGTTATTATATAGATGTTGAGGCAATTGAAAAGAACTTCTTTTCCTTTATTAAGAATCACTTAAACAATCTACAAGATATGTTTAATCATATTTACACGACGTTGACACAACTCGTCACTTACCAATTCTTAATCTACCCAAACTCACAACACAGCAACAGCTATGCATACACTCTGTTCACTCACCAAGAACCCTAACAGCTTCTAGCCTAGTACTTGAGATTCACAGAGATAGTCTAAACGCCCACCTAAACCTAAAGTCTAGACTGCGAATATAAAGGAAGCGTCATAGACAACTTTCCTAATCTTCAGATCACACCAAATCTTCTTTCCTTGATTTGATCGTATCTTCAATACACCGAATAACTTGAGCATCACGTTCTGGAAACTTCCAATCACCAATCACTGCTCGCCACGTCATCTTCATTTAATGTCTCGCAGTTTCCCGCATACAGCTCTCTCCTGTGCTCCACAGGATCTTCCTGTAGCCCGACATCCATATGTCTTCAATCTCCCCCTTTTTACCTGAATGTGACACCTCAAGCTCCAGAGCTACCTGTCAGGGTTAGTTTGCCAAGATACACACCAAGAAGCACCAATGTATATTTCAAACTCAAAAGAATTCTGAAATAACATTCATTAGCAAAACAGAAACTGCTGGGGATTCAAGTTTCAACACCCAACAGAAGCAAATACAGAACAGTAGTGCAAAATCTATCAAAGACACACCACACATTTGCTCCCCCTTATTACTAGGCCTAGTCTAAACTAATCAGCCACTAGTCTCCTCATCACTAGGATCCCCAGCAGGATCTCCATCAAAATTACCATAAAAATTACCATATTCTCCCCCTGCTTGAGTGCACATTCATGTAAAAACCAAAAGCCATCAAGTTATGCAGGAAAATCAGATGAAGGAGAACAAACACTTACCATCCAGGCGACGCTTCATCCAAGATAGCTACAGCCAGGAGATCTGCAAGATCATCATGAAGCAAGGTCCTTGATGTCTGAAATGGAGGTGCAGCATTCTAAGCTTCAGCAGTCTCGACCCTGAATACTCCAGGAGAACGAGATAATGTATCAGTTGGCAGAGTCAGAACAGCTCTCTGGGAGGACAGCACCATATCTATCAGCAGAAGACGATCAGGCCGCAGAGTAGTCCGATTTGTGCCAGGAATCCAGTACACAAATGTAAGACTGTCAGCACAAGTTTCCAACTCAGCAAGATTGACATAAAAACTCCTTCACAACCAAGCAGACCTGTAATTGCATCAAAAACTCGAAATTCCAATAAGATACATAAACAGGTTTTAACCGGTGAGATAACCAATTCACCCTTGCTTTGAAATTCGTTTTAACATGCACTCTGTACTGTACAGATTGACACTGTTGAGCACAAGAATATCACAGGCAACCACTAAACAACCAGAGGCAGGAAGTGACCATGTCAGAGATCCAAAATTGTTTTCCATGAAACACTTTATTTGAAAATTAAGATCATTTTGGAGTCACTCAGTAAATGTATCACGTCATACCTGTGAACACAGAGTTCCTGAAGTAACATGATATGCACATGAGCAAGCACATCGAACTGTAAAACCGGATTCAACCCACCAGCTCAGTGAGGTAGCTATTTCTCTGTTGAGGAGCTTTCACACACACTGTTTCACTCAGACTAGTCTACACATCTGCATACTCAGCCAGAAAACATTCTCAAAACAGCTTTCAGCTCCTTTTTTATTATTTTTTCTTCATCAAAAATGTAGGCGAATAGTGGTATCATGGGAAATTTTCCTAACCTCGCTTCCATCTTTGTGTGATCATCCCTTTCGAAGTAAAATAATGAGGTCATAGGAAATTTTCCTACCTCTTTACTCAAAAGAAAATCATTTCATCTTTTCATTCCTTTGTTTTCTTTTTCTTTTCTCTTGTTTTTCAATGACCAAGCTTGATATGCTGAGTGCACAGGAAAGCCATTTCTGTTGAACATCGTCGAAGCCAAGTATGCAGAGCAGCTCTTTTTCTGAGAGAAGTTGCCAATAGGAGGTTTTTCTTGCTGTAGTCAGTACCACATTAACCAAGGGATTAAAAAAAAACTGCTGTACTCCTGTGCAGTGATCCTGTTCCAACAATCCCTTAGTGACAAAAACCAGGTCAGTTTTCACAAATACCAAGTGACTTTTGCAAATTTGTGAAAGTGCTCAAATCAAGTGGTTTAGCAAAAATATCAGCCAATTGTTTCTCAGTATCAATATAGAGGATCTCAACAAGTTTCCCTTCAACTAGCTCTCTGATGAAATGGTGCCTAATACCAATGTGCTTAGTGCGAGTGTGATGAACAGGGTTCTTAGTAATATCAATTGCACCTGTATTATCACAGTTTATCAACAGAATTTCAGAAGTCATACCATAATCCGCAAGCATTTGTTTCATCCATGGTAGTTGAGTACAGCAGCTCCCCATAGCAATGTACTCAGCCTGAGTGGACGACAGGTAGACGCAGTTCTGCTTCTTGCTATGCCAAGCGATCAGGTTGTTTCCCAGAAAGAAACATCCTCCAGATGTGCTTCGTCTGCCATCAAGACATCCTGACCAGTCTGCATCACAGAAACCTGCAAGATTATGATTAGTATGCTTGGTATAGGACAACCCATATTTAACTGTACCTTTGACGTATTTGATAATACGTTTAACTGCATTTAGATGGGATACACGTAGACAGGCTTGGTAACGAGCACACAGACCAACACTATAACACAGGTCTGGTCTGCTAGTTATCAGATACAGCAGACTTCCGATCATGGCTCTGTAGAGTTTCTGATCAACATCCTGACCATCTTCATCAATCTTGTTCTTGAATATCCACATTGTGCCCACAACATTTATCTATGCAGGTCGAGGTACCAGATCCCACACTTCATTTCTGGAAAACTGATTTAGTTCCTCTGTACAAGTACCATACCAGAATTCATCTTCAAGAGCTGCAGCAATATTCTTAGGTTCAACTAAACACACAAAACACGAGTGCTGCAGCATTTCTTTGAAGTTAAGCTGAACACCTCTGGTCGTTCTTTCATTCAGATCTCCTATCACATCAGCAGCTGAATGATACTTATGAACAACTAGCTTCTTTGCCGTAGAAGGTACAACAGGTGACTGTGCCTCAGATGATACTTCTCTGTCAGTGACTTTTTCTTCAAGAGCTGTTTCAAATGCGTCTACTGCAGGTGCTTCTACAAACTCGTCTGATGTAGGTGTTTCTGCAGACTCGTCTGATGTAGGTGCTTTTGCAGACTCGTCTGCTGCAGATGCTTCTGGAGACTCGTATGCTGCAGATTCTTCTATGTACTCGTCTAACACAGGAGGTAACACAAATCTATTTTTATCATCAAAGACCACATTGACAGCATCACCAATTACCTTGGTTCTCTTGTTATACACTCTGTATGCTGAGCTGTTTGTAGAGTATCCCAAGAAAATTCCCTCATCACTTCTAGAGTCGAATTTTCCGAAGTGCTCATTTTCATTAAGAATATAAGACACACATCCAAATACACGAAAATGGCTCAGATTCGGATTTTTTCCCTTCCATATCTCGTATGAAGTGGTCTTTGTGCCAGGTTTCACATAAACCCTGTTGACAATGTAGCATGTTGTGCTAACTGCTTCTACCCAGAAACCTTGAGAGATGTTATTACCATGAATCATAGCACGAGCCATTTTCTGCAGTGTTCTGTTTTTCTGTTCAACAATTCCATTCTGCTGAGGTGTTCTGGGTGCTGAATACTGATGTCTGATTCCTTGCGTTTGATAGAACTGTTCAAAGATCTCATTCTGGAATTCTCTTCCATGATCACTTCTTATCTGAATGATCCTTCCCTTTTCATTCTGAAGCTGTAGGGCAAGAATCTTAAAGCTTTCCACTGCTTCAGACTTCTCTCTTAGGAACTGAACCCATGTGTACCTTGAAAAATCATCTACCAACACAAGGATGTACTTCTTCCTATTGATACTTTCCATTAGTACTGGACCCATGAGATCTATATGAATCAGCTCAAGTACCTTTTTAGTTTCAATTTCAGGTACCTTCTTATAATTGACCTTGATCTGCTTTCCTTTGTTACATACACTGCATACAGACTCCAGTTTGTCAGCCAATTTTGGTACACCTCGAACCACTCCAGCGTTCACAATCTTAATCAGGGTCTGAACGTTCATGTGTCCAAGTCTCTTGTGCCACAGCTCCAGATCATTAACAGACACAGACAAACAGATATCTAATGCCTTCCACATGTAGCAGTTATTGCCTGAGCGCACCCCACACAGTACAGTGTTTCCATTTTCATCAACAGCTTGACAATCAGTCCTAGTGAAGATTACTTTCAGACCATCATCCCATAGCTGACTTATGCTAATCAAATTTTCTTTCAAGCCTTCAACGTAGTACACATTTATCAGTGATGGTTGATCATCACATTCGATGTTTCCTTTGCCTCTTATACGTCCTTTACCACCATCACCAAATGTAACTTTTCCACTGGCCTCTTCTGTGAAGGTTGACAGAACACTTGAATCACCTGTCATGTGTCTTGAGCAGCCACTGTCAAAGTACCAAGGGTTATTTGCAGTTCCATCTGTAGATGTGTAAGCTACCTTTGCAGTGAACTCCTCATCTTTATCAGACTCATCCAGTTGTACAATCGTCACGTTACAGGTTAGACTGATTTCTTCAGATTCAGAGACTGCTTTGTTATACTGTTTCTCATCATGCTCTGAATCTTTGTTGTACAGGTCTATCTTGCGAATCCAGACTTTACCAAACTTGGATGGTTCAATAAAGCATTTCCGTGCTTGCCACAGTTGCTTGATCTTGTCTTGAAACTTATAACAAGACCTTCTGATATGACCTGGTTTTCCACAATAGAAACATTCAAACACTTTTCGACCTCTGTTTGACCTGGTCCACTTCTTTCTGGATGCAGTCTTTCTTGGTGCAGTCTTCCTGTATTGTTTAGCCGTATTATTGTTTGACCTGGTCCACTTCTTTCTGGGTGCAGTCTTTCTTGGTGCAGTCTTCCTGTATTGTACAGCCGTATTCTGTGGAGCATTCTGATTCACCTTCCTAGGCTGCTGTTTCTCTTCCACTTGAGCTTCTTCATCATGATAGGTTGTACTCCTCACGAACTGAACTGTCTTTGGCATATCCATAGATGCTTTGGGAGCATATGACTGATAGCCCAATCCTCTATGACTTGAACCAACTATTCCCATGGACAGAATCTGATCCAGATTTTTACCACCATTATTCAGCATTCTGATCTTCTTGTGGTTCTCACTCAGTTCTCTTTCCAGCATTAAAGCTTTTTCTTTCTCCTTTTCATAGCTCTCAAGTAAGCATTTCATTTTCTTCTCAAGAAACTCCTTTTCTGACACAGGTAGCTTCTCGCCAATTTTTCCTTCCTCCACTTCTTCTTCCAGCATGTTCACTTGTGCCACCAGCATCAAGTTTTCCTTAGTGAGCTGCAGCTTGTCATTGCTCAGAGAGATCCAGCTGTCATACAGAGTCTTGTAGTCGTCACTGGTGATCTGATTTCCATCATCATTATCTGAATCAGAATCCTCACTGGAGTTATTCTGATCTTTTGCACTGAATGCCACAAAATTCATCATAGGTTCAGCTTCACCATCACTATCTGATTCAGACTCACTGAAGCTCAACAAAGATTTCTCTTTACCTTTCTGTGAACTTGGACATTCTGATTTTACATGACCAAATCCATTACACTCATAGCACTTCAGCTCCTTGCGTCTTGCCACAGGACATTCAGGTCGAGTATGTCCTATACCTCCACACTCGTGACATTTCAGATCACGTTTCCTTCCTGATGATTCGCTCCTTACAGGCCTGCTGCCTGACTTTTCAGCATCACTTCTGTTCCAGCGACTGATCTCTCTTGTGTCCCTGCTGTCTCTGTCCTTACCCTCTTTAACCTGTTTCAAAGCTTTTCCGAAATTTCTGGCCATGAGAGACAGATTGTCTCTGATTTCTTGCAGCGGATCTGGACCCTTTTCTTCATCAGCTTTGACCGCTATTCCTTTGTTCTGGTTTCGTTGATCTTCAGCAACTTCCATCTCTTCAGACTTTAGAATGCCAACCAGATCTTCATATTTCAGGGTATCTGTGTTTCCTGAAACTCTCATGACAGCTTTGTGTGCAGCGTATTTCGGTGGTAGGCAACGAAGCATCTTCTTCACCAGCTTTTTCTCCTTGTACATTTTCCCTAATGATTTTGCTTCGTTTGCAATCCCACTCAGCTTAGAACTGAACTGAACAATTGTTTCTGAAGGATCCATCTTCAGATTTTCAAAGTCTGTAGCCAACTGGTCCAGCCTGGTGCATTTTACACCAGTGTTGCCCTCATGGGTTTTCTGCAGAATATCCCACATCTGTTTAGCATTCTCACTTCCTTGAACCAGATTGAATTCATCATCATCAAGGCATGAATATATAGCATTCATAGCCCTTGCATTGAACTCGGATAAATTCTTTTCTGCATCAGTCCAGTTAGCTTTTGGTTTCTTCACTTTCAGACCGTCTTCTGTTGTGCTGAACGGAGGTTCCCAGCCATCTTCAACTGCAGTCCAGGCGTCCTCTCCCTGTCCTCTGATTAACTGCATCATCCGAGTTTTCCAGTGACCGTAGCCTCTGTGATCCAGCATCACCGGTCTGTTGAGTTCTGCCTTCGACATCTCTAATCTGCAGGATCTTAACCTGTATTGAGTTAGTACTCAGGTCGGTCACCCGCTCTGATACCAAGTGTTATTATATAGATGTTGAGGCAATTGAAAAGAACTTTTTTTCCTTTATTAAGAATCACTTAAACAATCTACAAGATATGTTTAATCAGATTTACACGACGTTGACACAACTCGTCACTGACCAATTCTTAATCTACCCAAACTCACAACACAGCAACAGTTATGCATACACTCTGTTCACTCACCAAGAACCCTAACAGCTTCTAGCCTAGTACTTGAGATTCACAGAGATAGTCTAAACGCCCACCTAAACCTAAAGTCTAGACTGCGAATATAAAGGAAGCGTCATAGACAACTTTCCTAATCTTCAGATCACACCAAATCTTCTTTCCTTGATTTGATCGTATCTTCAATACACCGAATAACTTGAGCATCACGTTCTGGAAACTTCCAATCACCAATCACTGCTCGCCACGTCATCTTCATTTAATGTCTCGCAGTTTCCCGCATACAGCTCTCTCCTGTGCTCCACAGGATCTTCCTGTAGCCCGACATCCATATGTCTTCAATGCATATTTTATTTATTTATTTCAACTTCAATAAGTTTTACAAAGAGAAAAGCTAGAAACTTATATAGTCGATCTAATCAAGGAAGATGACCTAATGGTCATAATCCACACAATTGGAAAGAATTCTATATGCCTAAAAGAAAAGGAAACAAGTTCAATCCTAATATAAGTACTATAATCAAAATATTTGAATTTGAATGAATGTTTTCTTGGCTTGATTTAACTAACTTGAAAACGTCTTTAGCTCCTTCGGTAAATTAGGGTACCTCTAGAGAGCGAGACAATTCTAATTGATAACTTTAGTTGTCTGTGCTCTTTGGATAGTGTACTTATGGAACAGAGGTGTTCAGATCCATGGAACAGAGGGCTACATATGTTCTTGTCCAAAGCTCAATATGCAATGTTTTTGAGTCTTCACAATTCATGGGCTGTTTTGAGCACTTCTTGAAGAAGACATTCTAGGCTGGCTCCATGCAATAAATAATTCCTTCTTGGTATGTTCTGGTTTAAGGTTCTCATTAATTATAAAGTACATAAAACGTAAGGATCTGAAAAATATAAAGTGATATTCACATCATTCTACTGTTTTTTAATCCTTCTAAAAATAGATCAAACCTTGGGTAGAGAGATCACAATAAGTAATTTTTCTAGTCAGTCAAAAGAATGTGAAGAAATAAAATCTGGACCACTTTCCAATCTTGGGAACACACTCGGTCCACACAACAAAAACAAAGTGGGCCTCGATCTGACCCAACATAAGAACACTTATCCTCTTCTCTCTTCAAATTTAATTCCGTTAAAAAAAAACACACACATTTTTTTACGAAACTCTCTTGAAAAAGAATAAAACAACATTAGTGGAAAAATATACTTTTGACAATAATGGAAAGTAAATAACCTAGCCCCTTAATTAATGGCGAAGATGATAATAAATTATTAATGATGATAGTAATGAAAATTTTTCTCATTCCTAATGATTTTTGATGCATATTATCAACGAAATGATAATGGAGATTTCGACATTTTTTTAAGTTTTTCATAATCTTTTTTCTTAAGTCAAAAAAAACTTCGAATCAAGAGAAATGAAAATGGTAGAAAATTTCGAATGATCGAAATATGAAACTATATAATAAAATCTGCATTTTTGTTTATCTACATAAAGATCAAAATCTAACGAACCAAAAAACAAAATTACGAAAGAAGAGGAACTTTAACAATTTGATCGGAATCAAGATCACGATCACGATCACGATCTTGATCTTCTTCACCGCAATCATAAACAGATCTAACCAAAACCAACTGATCTTCCAAGTATCTCTGAAGCAATCCAGCTTCTTCTTCCGGTTCAAATCCGCCGCAACCACAACCTTCTTCACATCTCCGGAGCCTTAAATCATCTTCATCCGCGGCGGATTTAGCAAACCAAGGATGACGACTACGGAGGCGGCTAAAGATCTCGACGGCGCAGAGAATTGGGATTGAGGCGCAGAGGATTGGGATTAGTAATGGAGAACAGAGGAGAAAGAAAATGAAGCGGCTCCGTCGTGTACGAAGGCAAAAGACGTCGGTCAACATAATGATGACGACGGCGCGTGAAGAGTCATGGCTGGATTAAATGGAGGAGAAGAGGTCGTGCGTTGTACCACGACTTGGTAAATGAGTGGGATCATAGAGAAGCTTCTTTGGCACATGACTTTGTTCTTTTTATTTGACTTTTTTATATACTTGTCTTTGGCTTTCTCATGTGACTATTTTACTACAAAATTTGATCTCTCTATTATATATTTATATTGAACAAGACCATTTTTTTTTTCCATTTTGCTTTCTGATTTACTAGTTACTTGCATAAACTTCCTATTACCAGGTAATATCTAACTTAATATCTCATTACCATTTACCTGATAACATTATCTATATTTGTTACTTAAGACTATTAGTATGTTTTTTTATTTAATGCTAAATATCTTCTAAAATATGAATTTGCATTTAATGCGCTATATGCATCCTACAAAACTAACGATTTTATTGTCTTGTAGGGGCAGTTTCGTCATATCAATTTTGCTGGAAAAATAAATCTAAGGTGTTGATTGGTTCTTCCGCTATCATCCGCATAACGGTTGTTAGCGGTTTGTTTCGGTTGTTAGCAGTTTGTTTCGGTTATTAGCGGTTGGTACCAATCATAGAAACTGTTCCATACCGTTTTGGACCGCTCGAAATCGCCGGATATCAAAAGCTCATTCCCGCAAGCGTTTGCGGTTGCGGATGATTGCGGTTGGCATAAAAAAGAAAATAAACTAAAAAAAATTTAGCAAATTAAAATATATATTATAAAGTCCTATATATATTCAAAGTTAATTCTAAAAAATAATCATTATCTAACATTAATTTTTTAATATTTATAATTATTTTCACTATAAATTTTATTTTTTAATATTTGAATAATTATTTAGTAGTTATTTATGGTTATTAATTATTAATCATGTTTAAAAATTTTAGGTTTTTCATAAATATAGTTTTTGGTGTTTTTATACATTTTCATAATTATATATTACATTTATTATAGTAAATTTTGGTTTAACCGCTATCGTATCCGCTGATCAACCAGTCGTAAATCTCCCGCAAACTCTTTTATTTTCAACCGCTAAACCAGTTGGTCAAAACGCTAAATAACGCTTGAAACCGCAACTGCGTGCTTCCGCAAACTCCCACAACCACAACCACAACCGCTGCGTTTAAACCAGTCAAGCCCTAAATATCTTTTTTCTAAGTATAAATTCTTAATTTCATCGTCGTCTATCTATAGATTTTTAACTTACCTTTTTTATTGAAATAGTTACATATTGGAAACTATTAATTTATTTAATGGATACGCAAATGAATAAAATTTATGATGAATACTGGAATTACTTGTTTGGATATTTAAAATTCTAAATATTTTTAAAAATTTATAAGCATTATACAAAGTTTCCATAATTTTTAAAACGATCCAAATTATCATCCTATATAGTAAAATCACTATCGAAAGTATTTTGGGACCGGGAAATTCTATTAATTTATAAAAGTATTAATTTATCGATAAACTAATTTATAGAGAGATTTTACTAATTTTGTAATTTCTTTTAAAAACTTCTATCTGAAAAACAGTTTTTTTTTTTTTGTCTATATTCAATATTTTTTATTAACTAATTACAAGTAGAAAAGCAATTATTAAGTTTAGAAAATAACACAAATTTTTTTCGATCAAATAAAACTATTAGAAATGAACTCTACCAAGAATTAATATAAATTTAAGAAAAACAAACAATAGAAATTTTATATTTCATTAAATGTTTTACATATAATATTTTAAATATATATCATAGTAATTCATATATGATATATATAAATTAATATTTTATATATATACTAGGATATATATATATATATATATATATATATATATATATATATATATATATTGATAAGTTTATATAATTATTAATTTATGAAATTGATGGGGCCATATGTTTATAGAGGATTCATAAAACATTTTATCTTATTATTTTACCGATTTGTGTCATTTTTTACACTGGTCCCAACTCAGGAGCAGAAGAATTTATTCATTTATAAAGGTTATTAATTTATCGAGTATTAATTTATAGAAGTTTAACAGTATTAACATTTACCCAAATTAGTATGACTTTGGTTAATCATGTTTTTTGTCCAAAGTTTCCAAACTTATCTTGTTATTCGAATAATCCATTTCCGCTTTTTATATGTTATTGTCCGTCTTGATACTAATGGTGGATCCATTAATTTTTATTCTTTACTAGGGGCATAAATATTTAATATTTATTTAAAAATCAAAACAAAATAACAAGACATATTAATTTATATTATACTTTATTTCTTTCTAAAATTTGTTATTCATGTTTATTTGTAATATATGTAACACAAAATGTTTGTAACTAAAACAAACTCAAACAATTAATTAGAAATTGATTTCTAATTTAGTTGCTTATGACTGCTTTCGGGTGTGACTGGTGAAAATTTAAGTGGAATTGAGAAGAAAAATAAGGAGAGAAGAAAATATACTTTTAGAAAAATTATTTTTCTACTTCAGTTTTGTAGAGGAAAGTTTTCTCTACTTTTTGGCTTTCTCATGGTAATTAAGAGAAAAACGTTTTCTTCTTGATTGGTGTAAATGTAAAAAAAAAAATTCCACTCTTTTCTTTTCTTCTATTGATGCCTTCCAGTCACACCCAATGATAAATATTCATCGGCATTGAAGGAAAAAAAGGATCGAATTGTTACAAAAGTCAAAGAACATATGCGTATATAACTTAATATGGAGCTCATTGTCATTTTTTTACAGTAAATTTTATCTATATTTTGTACTATAAATATGAACACTTTCATTCAGTTGTAAAATACACAATTCTACTACGAAACAAAAGTAACATAAAGTCTCCCACTCTCTCTCTCTATTATTACTCTCTTTCCCTATATTTCTGTCTCATTTATGTTATCTACATTATTTTCTCTTTTAGAAGATGAAAAGAAGAAGAGTCAATAGATTGTCTAATTTATTTATGATATATTATTATATTTAATTACAAAACGAATATGAATGTATTAAAAAAAAAACAGAAAATTATCTACCTATAAGAATGTGTGAAAATAGCTAAAAGTTAATAATAATTTAGTACAATATTATGAAGAAAAACAAATCTCAATTTGAAATTTTGGTAAAAATTATTATGATTTGAGGTTTCGATGGAGTGTAAGAAATTTATTGATAAGAATGACTAAAATTAATCAGAGGCAGAACATATAAATTAGTGGGAGCATAATTACTATTCCATATAAATTAAGGAAGTCAAAATTTACCCGGTGCAGATGCATCTCCAAAACTCTATATTGTTCCGCCCATGCTTGTTACCCGAAATGGACACTCCAAATATCGTCATCCACAAGAGAAAAGACTACTCCACAAACACTCCAAATATTGTTCATCTATAAGAGAAAAGACTACCCCACAAACTCCTAACAGTAGTTCTAGACATTGTAGATTGAGAAGTAAAAAGAGAGGACCTTATGAAAACTTATCTTTCTACTGAGAACTTTGATAAAAAGTTATCATCTACTTTTCCTCTTAAGAATATCTAAAAATGTTTAGCAAATCACCTTAACAAGTCATATCAGCAAATCTTCGTTGCAAGTTAGTTTCCCGAGTCCTTGTCACCTTCTAGACTTCTGCCATGCCACATCAACAGCTCCTTGTGCCCAGTCACCATGATCAGGGCCGGCCCTGAGCCCAGCAAGGTGAAACATGGGCTTAGGGCCCCCAAAATTTCTAGCTGTTTTTATTTTAAAAATAGGCCCCCAATTTTATAAGTTTTTGCAAAAGAGGCCCCCAATTTTACAAACTTTAAACTACCCTAAAATTTGCTTGGGCCCCACAAACTCCTAACAGTACCATGATGCGTCCTTGTCACCTCCATGACTCATGATGTGTCCTTTGATGCATCATCTGTTTCCATCAACTTAAGGTTCATGAATCTGCATCTTCAGTTATGTTACCAAATGATTGTTAATCGTGTTGTGCTGAACATTTTTGGATATTCTTAAGAGGTTTTGGAAACTAAAAATATTCAGCAAATCACCTTAATAGGTTTTGGAAAAGATACGTGAAGAAAATGTTTATTCCTTGTGTTAGATTTTCGAAGATTCTTGTTTAGAATTTGGGAAGTATAAGTAGTCTAAGGAGGTTATATACCGTCGTTAACACTTAGAAGACTTGTGTGAGGTTTGTAAATTTTTAAGTTTTTCCAACGACAAGTTGAGAAGGTGAGTGTTCGATAAGTTCTTGAAATATCACGGTTAGGTGTTATCGATTGATTCACGGTTGGGTGTTTATGTTAGTGAACTTGTGTTTGCAATCCTTATTGTGTTTCACGGTTGGGTGAATAGGATCGAGAAGGATTAGGATTAAACAGGGTTTTGATCGTGTTCAATCTAAAGGGTAGTTTAGATGAGACCTAGTAACTTCTGAATAAGTGTAATCCTTGTAAAAGATTGATTAATTTATATAAAATCTTGTATATAAACGTTGAATTTGGTGCTTTACAAGTCAAAGATCTGTGTTCATGGGTTCTTTGTGCTTAAATTAACAATATAGTATCTATGAGAATATGTTACAATTTCACTTTTTCAATAGATTCACCCTGTGAATATTTTTACAGTTTTACATGTAGGTACCTTGATTTGACCAATAAACTCGTCCAAAAACTAACCCTAAGTTACAAATTACAAACAAATCACATAAATTCTATGTTTTACTTCTATGGAAACTAGTAGACATTTGACTAAGAAATGATTGGAATCTGTAACCTACAATAGTGTAGATGAGAATATATGCAGTTTGGACGCTATTTAAAGGAGATTTGGACCCAATTAAAACGCGATGCATGCGCAGTTAAAAATCGTTGTAGACACAATAAAAACACAATTTGGATGTGGTTAAGCATGATTTAGGCGCATTTTTGAATCGAATAATGCACGTTTTTGATGTGTTGCGTTTTTGACGGTTTCGAGTCTTATTTAGTCTGCGTTTTGAGTCATTTGTCGTGTCGTAGTCCGTCTTTGCGTCTTTTCGGTTGCGTCTTGAGTCTTTTGCAGGTTTTAGGTGTTTAAGCGGGACGCGGATGTTTTCGGGCATTATTGGGCTCATTTGGACCAGAAACAATCGCGGGAATTGAAAACCGGAGTCAGCATAGTGGGGATCGATCAATCCGGTTTTATTTCATCAAAACTTCCCATTTAGCAACTTGGGATCGATCGATCCCAGGAGGACATCGATCGATCCACCCTCTCGATGGCCAGAACCGGTTTTCCTTAACCGGATTTATCTTCCTTTTTCTGCACTTGGGTATAAAAACCCCAGAAACCTAATTTCGTTTTTCACGTTCTCTTTCTGCAATTTTTGAGACTTCTCTCTTGTAAGCTTTTTGGGATTCTAGAGATTCATCCTCTTTGACATTTTAGAGAAGATTTCTAAACCCTTGTTCTTTATTTATCAATTCAATTATGCTTTCCTTTCAATCTATTTGTCTTGTTTCTGTTGCTATGTATGAGTAGTTCTCTAATTGGGTTTTAGGGTTCTAATTAGGAGATTCAATGGATTAATGGATTGATTGTTATTAGGAATTCTTATTCTTTAGGTCCATTGATTCACATGTTCTTAATGCTAGAAAAGGATTGATCACCCTGCTGTAGATTCTAGGTTTTTCTATGCATCAAAAGTGTTCGATAGAATGTCTGAACCAATGTGAATTGAGCAATTATGCTTAGCCAATGAAAGTTGACGTTAGGACGCATTGTGAACTTAGTGAACTTGTTTGGTAATGCAAATTTGACTAGGAAATTACATGCGAAAGTTTAGTAATCGACTAGTCAAATTTAGTGATTGATATCTTGAAAGAGAATTAGTCTAGTTGTGTTCATGTTCAAGAACGGTACTTAATTGTTGAATTCCATGTCTCATGTTTCCATTGTTTATTGATCTCTGAGATATCCTATGGCCCAATGTCTTTAAATCTTGATAGTTAAATCGTTTATATTACTTGCATTTTTATTTTACAATTCGGAAAACCAAACAAACAATCTTTTTAGTTTTAACTAATAACAAGTCTCGGAAATCTTTAGAGTATCTTTGGTCCTTGTGGATCGACCTCGAATATACTACCTAGCGGTTAAGTGTATTGAGTAATTACTCGAGCAATCAGTTTTGGACGTAGAAACTACATAAACGCCCAAAAAAAATGTCCAAACCGTATCTTAACTACGTTTCAACTGTGTCGTAACCGCTTATAAGCCGCGAGTCAAATAAAATCATTTTTGCAGCAATTATCTCTGGATTAAAATCTTGGTTGTAGTCCAAAGAAAGAGTTTTATAAAAATAAAATAATCGATATAAATTTGATCATTGACCCAATAAAAGAAATCAATTTTGGACTATTGACCAGAAAAAGATATAAATTTGGAAATACTTTTAAATTTAGATATTAAAAATTCTGTAAATAAAAATTAATTTTTGCAAACAATTATATATATTTATAAAATTCTGTATCGTTGACATATCGTAAAATAGTGATCCATTTATATATTAAATAAAATATAAATATTCAACCAAAACTATAATTATTTTAAGTTATATGAGGTACAACAACAAAAATATTCGAGATCATTATAATCGAACATGCATAAACCAATAATTTCATTTGGGAACTCAGGCGGTCCACAGCGACTCCTACATTCGTAGCTGAATCGGCACCGACCTCTATAAACACACTCGTCAGGTCCGATTTGAATTCTTTTCAGTACTATTAATCACCAAAACAAATCAATAATGATCATTAGTTTACTATATTTTTCCCAAGAAATTATGAATTGTTTTATAAAACATTGTCTACGAATTTGTAACTGCATATTTATTGGAAACATGTATAACAAAAGTTTGAAGTGAAAAATGGAATTTCTAAATAACTAAAAGGGAGAGAAGAATGTTACATAAAAACCAAAAAAACCGAGAGAAGAAAAATAAATAAAATATTTACCTTTTGATTGGCAAGTAATTAGGAGAGAATGTAAGATGAGAAGGGTTGCAAGTTGAAACTTTGACAAAACCATTTAGTTTGATTTGTTTTTAATAATCGAGTATTTTTTGTTGTTGTTGGGGTGAAGTTGTTTTTGAAACAGGATATGCATATATGTGTATATATAATTCACAAGGATGCAAATTTAAAACTTCCCATAAAAAATAGATACGGTCAATCATCCACAATGACAATGACTTTAATTTCATTTCAGTCAACAAAAACAATAAATAAGAAGTGAAAACATATCTTTAGGAGGAGTTTAAAGGACTGTATTAAAGGAGTTTGATTTTTTTTTCTTAATTCAAATAAAATTTTTGAATGTCGTTCGTAATTCTTTGTTACTGAACTTGGGATTTGCTTAAAATAATTTAGAATAATATACAATTTCTTGCTATTTAATCAATGATTTATAAATTTTTTTTTATGAAATCTCTTGTTTAGTTGAAAGATTTACTTTTTTTAGTCGAAAATAGAGATGAAAAATACACACCTCTAGAGGTGGGATTTCAAAAACTAATCTTAAACATGAAAAATTGCAGAAATAATATTTTCATTGAGAACCATCGTTATGTTCTTTTATCTTTTTGTGCTTAACTCTTGAAAATAACAATCGATATGTTTTTGTGATTATCTTCTCTCTTTTCTACTCAAATGAAATCTTCAATTGTAGTCTAGTGGTATTTGGTACGTTTAAAGGTAGACGGTTGTGTGTTCGATCTTTGGCAACCATAGACTTTAACATTTTTTTTTTTTTAATTGTAAATGAGCATCAAATTTTATTGGGCTTTAGACATCATGGGCCGGCCCAGATTGTCTTAATGAGGACTCCTAACGGCTTTGGTATATGCACTTTGGTTCATTGAGAATCATCTAATTGAAGGGATTTCTCCGATGGCTATAGATCGATGGATGAAGTACAAACATCAGAATCTAAAACCCGATACAAATGAGGGTTATCAATGACTGATCATATTAGATGGGAAAATCTTATATCTGATATATATACCTAATGGCTACTCGTTAGGGACCTGAATGGGAGAATAAAATGAAGGTGGATGGATGTGACCAAAGTGATTTGTATGTAAGATATGCTAAATTCCACGAGTAGCTAAAAGAATCCACCCAATAATTAATCAAAAAATAATCTCGAATTAATCCAATAGATTTCTCATAAAGAGAGCAAATTGGCTTTTCCGATTTTATTCCAATTTAAGTTGCACATACAATGAAGGTGATGCAACATCAATGCCAAATCAGTTAAAAAGGAAAGACAGATATAAAAACAATCTCAATAAAATGAATGATTAGAGATAAACTAATCAAAGAGATCAATAAAGAATGATGTGATTATGGTAGTTCTTAAGGTCAATAAAGAAATTAATACTCAATCAATCATTAGTATAGTCTGATCATGATATGTGAAAACATGGCAATTTTAAAATGATTTAGTATCAAAATGAACTTGTGATTAAGGACATGACTAACTTGTTCCAATTGTGCAACTTTGGTTTTGAGGATCGCGTCACAAACTAAGGAGCTCAAGCATGTATGGATACAAATTACTCTTTTGATTGATCTGTTTACGATGCATTCTGTTTTACAATGTCATTTAGATGGCTCATCGAAATAAAAATTGCCTTCTCAACATGCTGGTTGGAGTAGATGACGTCAATTTGCTTTGAGTGGCCACTTTTCTCCACCCATCAGACAAAAATTGTGACGTTTAAAGAGTAATTTTATTCCTTGTAGTTTAAACCTAAGGTCAACTATTTGGGCCGTAGTGCTAGATCGCATCCTGGTGATTTTAGTTTTGTAGGTTATGCAACTCTAGAGTGGTTTAGCACACTTTTAGTTTAAATTACGTTGTTGGGAAAAAATTGAGGTAATCATTCTTTAAAAATTTTAACCGTAGAAAATAAGTCATAGGAATGGTGATGAACTTGTTAATAAGCTTTGATCTTTATCTTATATAGATGCAATACATTATCAAGAATTATAGAAAAGGTCGTTTAGAAATATTAATGATTTTATGTCTCTAAAGTTTCAACAAAACTAAATCTCTTCTGCAAATGAAAATACATTGTGAAAACAAAAGACTCTTTAAACACTTACAATGTTCATCTAAACTAAAAACTCAGCCCTGTCTCGTTTTTGGCACTTTCGCCAAGACACTTTATCTATATATGGAAATTCCCCAACATGTACACGATCAACATTACTTGACTTATCAGCTACGTTTGACAAATTCCCTTATAATCTTGAAGACCCTGACAAGGCTTTGTTACATCATTCTTGATCTGTTTACAATCACCTCTCGCTACCGGAATGACGAAGTCCTGAATATAAAGATCAAGCGTCTGGTCACAAATTTCCCACAATTGACGTTTCGTGACATCGAACTCTCGCCACCACTCTTTCTCTCCATCACACGGTAACTTCATCTTACACATGCTCGAACCGATATATATAGCAGCAGCTGCAATCTGACTAGGCCCGAACTGCAAGCAAAGCGACGTCCTTAGACTGTCATTAACGAAATTAAATGATGCTTGACATAACCGCCTAACATCCTCGGTCTTAACCGATCTTTTAACCCAATCCATCACTAGTTTATAAGGGTGTTCGATTTCGAGATCAAATCCTAACGTAGAGAGCACAAGCTTCTCTAGTTCTCTCCGGTTAACACATTCTTCTTCAATCTCTCGAACACATCTCTCAACGGCTCTTTATTGTGTAAAATCAGGTAAGAGACAACGAGGACGTCACCGGCTGGCCTTGGAGACCCTTCGACTTTTCCTGCGATAAACATACATATGATGGCTACTGTTTTCGGGTCGTTCTTTGCAAGTGATTGTCGAGTGAAGAATCGTTGACACAAGACAATCGCTGTGGCTATAGATTTCTGAGGATTGTTTAGTCTTTGGCCAAGCTCTTGAAGGAATGAAGTGTAAAACCAACGTTGAAAAGTCTCTTCCTTAAAGTTGATACCGTCAAGTCTCGATGGAGAGATTTTTTCAATCTCTTCTCTTGTGTAATACCACTTTGTTTCTGGCATTGTTGAACAAACCCAAAATCTCTCAATCGATTTTATTTTTAAAAAGATAGAGAATCGAGGAGGATTTAATCAAACCTCTTACCCTAAAAAGTTGATAGTTTACAAGGAGCGATTTGATTTCTTAAGAGAAGATTGTATTTTAGTTTTACTTCATTTATTTAAGGTTTTTAATTTTCTTTTGTTTATTTTTTCCTTATTTTGCAACCTTTTTTTTTTCCTTTTTCGTCCACAATATGGATTCACAAATTGCCATATGCCACATCTAATTGACTGTAATGGTATTGGTCAAACCATAAATTATGATTCTATTTTTCTAAAAAATAATTGTTTTCAACGAAAAAATGATTTGCACGTCATTTAATTTATGTTAAGTTATTTTTTTCTTATAAATAAATTTTAGTTTTCACTTTTCCAAGATATACCATTACCAACATAATGATAAAAAAAAACATATACATAACATTATCCATAAAGATAAAACCTATTTGGAACCATGACTCTTTTTATGAGTCTAGATGTTGGAGAGGGGAACATGGAAAATTTTTATTGTCAAAACACGAAAACCGGCACAAAGAGAAGAATCAAACTTAAAGGTTGGTATAGTGTTGCTAAGCAACTCTAAAGATCCAAAAGCACTCAAGAATAAACAAATAAACGAGAAGTTTGATTAAAGATCAAACCTCAAAACGTTTTAGGAGAAGAAGAAGACATTTGGGGCTGGATGAAGATGATGAATTTCTTTAGAGAAGTCCAACCATTAAAATTTGGGTTTTCTGAAAGAAAACAAATCTTTCAAATCGTTAATTTCTGCAAATTCACCCCCTACTTTAAAATAAGGGTTTTGTGCAAAAAAACCCTCGAAGTAGCCAATTTTTGCAAGAAAACCCTCCATCTCAAATAAATGCAAGTCAATACCGCCATCTCAAAAGTCACCCGCAATATAGCCCTCGCGTGTATCGATGACGTGGCAGCCGTTAACTCCGTCAGTGGGTTTTGTGCAAAAAAACCCTCGAAGTAGCCAAATTGCAAAAAAACCCTTCATTAAACCAATTTTTGCAAAAAAAAACCTTTTGGGTATTTTAAAATTCGGGTACGGGTTCGGGTTTACCTATAATACCCAAAAATAAAAATTGTTGTATGTAAATCTATCCACCCTATTGTTCGTACCGAAGTTGCAATAATAAATAAGTACGAGTTTTTGGGAGCGAACAGAGATATTTCTCTTATTAACGATAATCGTGCTTCTGTGATTACAGAGATGGAATTCGAGTGAACGAGAATACGAAATATACGCAAGAGTTAGCTATGATTTTTAGAGAAGTAATATATGTTTTGTCGAGGCTCTGAGCCTTACAGAAGGTGATTCCGTGCCGGGCACGTTTTTCGAGGCTCTGAGTCTTACAGAAGTTGATTTCGTGGCTTGCACGTTTTTCGAAGCTCTGAGTCTTACAGAAGTTGTTTTCGTGGCTTGCACGTGTTTTGAGGCTCTGAGCCTTACAAAATATTTTGTCTCTTTTGCGACGAATTTGGGCTTTTACAGAAGATTTTCTGGTTTTACAGAAAACTTATGTAAATTTTACAGAATTCTTCTGTTAAACCCTAGATTTTTCCTTCTCCTATAAATGGCTCCACCATGTCTTACTTTGATCATGCCAATGATCAGTTATTTTAGAAGATATCAAAATCGATTATTACCATATTGTTTCCTTTGCTTCCCTGTACAATCGAATTCTCCAACAGTCGCTTTTTCAAAACAAACCTTGGCTACTTTGAGGGTTTTTTTGCACAAAATTTGGCTACTTTGAGGGTTTTCTTGCAAAACTTGACTACTTTGAGGGTTTTTTTGCACAAAAGTTCACTCGTCGTGACGTTTTGGAACGGAGTTAACGGCTGCCACGTCATCGATACACGCGAGGGCTATATTGCGGGTGACTTTTGAGATGGTGGTATTGACTTGCATTTATTTGAGATGGAGGGTTTTCTTGCAAAAATTGGCTACTTCGAGGGTTTTTTTGCACAAAACCCTTAAAATAATACAGATTAATTCTATGAAATCAAAAGTAATATGCAATATAACCCTTATACGTATATTGTAAATGTTTCCATGGTCACATACATTAGATTTTAAAATTTTTTGAAGTAAAGTTAAACTTCTTGTCACGAGGACTTCAATGTGACACATTATTTATCAAAATTTTATAAACTTGACGATAGCGAAAAATTATTATATTGCATATTTTTTTTTACTTCATAGGATTAATCTGCATTTTCTAAAGATGATGGATAAAATTTGCAAATATTTGCGAGGTGCAAGATTTTTTTTGCATAAAACCCTAAATTACTATAGAGCAAAACAGCCAAAATATATATATAAAAAATTTTAAACTTTCGGGATTGTATATGAAATTCTAAAATGTATACCACTCGACTGTATATACATGAGCAGGGGCGGAGGGAGTGTAGATTCATAGGGGTCAATTGACCCCGGTGGAATTTAAAAAAAATAGTTGAATTTTTATATAAAATAAATTATTGACCCCAATCCAATAAAAATATTGACCCCTATAAAAGAAAATTATATTACAAACCCAATAATTACACTGTACTGATAGATAATATTAAGCCTAATAAAATTTATTTTAAGTAAATATACTACAATTAAACCCATTAATATAAACTAATATAATATTTTAACATTTATTTTGAGCTGATCTAAAAACGTTTTACCTTCTTCTTCTTTCTCCTTTGTGTTTTTAATCAATTTTCGATCGTGTGACGGTGGAGACAAGAAAACATCTTTCACATTTTTTAGTATATCGACTTATAAAGCTATCTTTTATGCATCTTTTAGAAAAAAAAATATTTTGACCCCGATGAATAGATTTTCTGGCTCCGCCACTGTACATGAGGTCATGAGCATGACATATTTTGATCCAAACGACGCAAACGATTGTTCACTATCTTGGAGAGATTCAAACTGAGGCTTAATAAAGTCAAGTTCTAAAACACAACGTTCATTAATCTTACTTGAATCTATATTATTTTTGCCTTAAAAGTTAAAATGCATTTCAACCATATTTTCGATCCCGTATAAAGTTGATCTAGTTTTTGGTGGATTCATGAATGTTACTAGACCACGATCACTTCTCAATTTGCTTATTTTTTTACTGTAAAAATAAGGGAATATATAGAAACTAACCATGAAAAGGAAAAGAATTAAGAGAATAGCTATGAGCTACAGTATCTTGTCGGGTGACTATATAAAATTACTTAAATATCCTTTTCTCTCATCTTCTACCTCTCAATTCTCTCTCATCCAAAGACAGAGTTTGTGGTCGTTTTTACCAGAATAACTCCGACTCAATCTATAATCCGAAGTCTCGCTAGAAAGACTTCTCCAAAAGCTGGAGATCATTCTCTCTCCCGTCAATCTCTTTCCCTCTCCCGTCAAACTCTCTCCCCATTGACAGGTTCTTCCTATTTCTCCAAAAGCTGGAGATACTTCTCTCTCCTTTCAATCTCTTTCCCTCATACCGGAACTATAGGTTAAACATATTTCAGTTTCTCCTCAGACACTCCACAGCCGCAGATTCATTTTTTGTGAGTTTATTTCCCAAACTTCATGTAATGTTTTTCGATGCAGCGGTATCTTTGTTTTCAACATGCTATTTTTTTTTTGTCATGTAAATTGTTAATATGTCATGTTTTTTTCCTTTTTGACATGTTATTCCTTTCAAAAACACATTAAATATTTACAAATTTCAAAGTTTTTTGTTCAGAGGATACGCTTTTTAATTTGATTCATGCAATTTCTTAAAATCACCATGTAAATTTCCAATATGTCATGTTTTATTTTATGTCGACATGCTATTCCTTTAAAAACACATTAAATATTTATAGATTTCAAGGTTTTTCGTTCGAAGGATACGTTTTTTAATTTGATTCATGCAATTTCTTAAAACCACCATGATTTGTTTATCTTTTCCTTGATTTTCATTTGTCGGCTCTTCTCCATTATCATCTCCTCCATAACCACCTCTTTCACAGAAACCACCACCACTGTATCCACCTTACGACGACCACAGCTACAAGATCCATAATCTTCATTATGCTTTTTGCATCCCACCAACGCCATCTAAGCCTCGCCGGACACCGGATCTCACGCCAAAACTATGTATCATTTCACGTTGGATCTCAAGCCAAAATCTTAATCGAAAAAATCTCGTCGATATAAGTTTCATATTAAATGGTTCATCTTGTAAAAACTATGGTTTTACAAGGTTAATTGGTCTTTTCTCTACCCCTACCCCACCACAAAAAGAGTTATTTTCTTAAGTTTTCTGACACATGGTTACTTTGTTAATTCTTTTTCGGTCAAAGGCTACTTACTAATATTACCCTAAAAATAATAACATTTAAAGTCTTAGTGTTTTAATTGAAAACAAAAAAATACTGAAAAAGGGATTAAAAATAAGATTTTTGGTTTTTTACCACATATCAAAAAAAGAAATTGCAGTTTTGTAGCTGCAATTGAATCTTATAACATGAATATATATATATATATATATATATATATATATAAATAAATTAATTTAAAAAAAATAGACAGAAAAGGTCACATCTTTCCATTTTTGGAGGTCTCTCTCCGAACGTGTATCACACGCGCTACAGTTGCGCGTAGACGAATAAAATAAACGGAAACCATATCCACTGAAAAAATAAATAAGAAGAAAATAAAGGAGAAACAGTGACGTAAAAGTTAGAATTCAATGTAATGCACCACACGAAATCTCTCACTTATTCACCGTTAGATCTTAGTCAAAAGTCAACAAACTATCTAAATCCAACGATTCGGTTTACATATCCGTGTAAAATAAGCACACGGTAGTTTTATTTTTCTTTTTTAAAAAAACAAAAAATTTAAGTGAAAGACAACAATCGGCGAACAATCTGGTCTGCTGCTAAATTTAATAAAAATAAAATTAAAAATAAAAAACAGAGAGAGAAAAAAGAAATTGCGAAAAAGAGAAGACCTTTGTGGCTTTGTCTAATTGTCTCCACTGAAAATAAAAAAGCGCGAATTCAATTCACCGACTAAAGACATTCTCCGGTGAACAACTCGATGCAATCCACTCATATCAGCGGCGGAAGTAGCGGCGGTGGTGGTGGTGGCGGAGGAGGAGAGGTGAGTCGAAGTGGTTTATCTCGGATCCGTTCAGCTCCAGCTACTTGGATTGAAACCCTACTCGAAGAAGATGAAGAAGAAGGTTTAAAACCTAACCTTTGTTTAACAGAGCTTCTTACTGGTAATAACTCTGGAGGACTGATAACGAGTCACGAGTTCCCGAGTTCTGTTGAGCAGGGATTGTATAATTATCATCATCATCAAGGTGGTGGCTTTCACCGTCAGAATAGTTCTCCGGCGGATTTTCTTAGTGGGTCTGGTGTTGGAACTGATGGGTTTTTCTCAAGTTTTGGTATTCCGGCGAATTATGACTATTTGTCGACTAACGTTGACATTTCTCCGACTAAACGGTCTAGAGATATGGAAGCACAGTTTTCTTCTCAGCTGGTAAGAATTTGTTTCATTGAATTCAGATAAAAATGCGAACTTTAATTGAAAGATAACTTCTTTTGCTTACTTTATTGTCAAGTTGTGTGAATTTATGGTCAAAATGCTGAGTGTTTAGGTTCTGACTTGAGTTCTGTTATAGGGATTGATATGGTTATAGTTTGATTGGGTGTTTGAATTCTTCAGTTGTGGAGACAATAAAGATGTAAAAGAGTAGTCTTGTCTAATTTGACAACTTGCATTTGTTTGTAACAAATTCCCAGCAAGTTGCAGTTTTTTTTTTCTTTGTTTTCCTGTGGCTGTGAAAGTGAATGTTGCATAAAGCTTCTATTAGTAGATCGGCAAACAAAAACAGTATACATTAGTCACTAACACATAGTCCATCTTTGGGGAAGATCACCTACTCGTGTTAACTATGTATTGATCGTGTAACGTTAGTAGTTATCATGGCTTGTGTGAGATAAAACATGTTTTCATGTTCATGGTTAAGTCTCTGTGTGTATATGGATAATTAACTAATAACTCTTTCCATTTGGTTTGTGAGTAGAAAGAAGAGCAAATGAGTGGTGGGGTGTCAGGAATGATGGATATGAACATGGACAAGATTCTTGAGGATTCAGTTCCTTGTAGGGTTCGTGCTAAACGTGGTTGTGCAACTCATCCTCGTAGCATTGCTGAACGGGTATTTACTTAAAAGTTTGTGCTAGATGCTTTGCAGTACCAGTTCTGTCTCTGTCTCATTCTTGGTTTTGTCATTAAGCTTTTCTCTATTCATTATGTTAGGTGAGAAGAACACGAATAAGTGATCGGATTAGGAGGCTGCAAGAACTTGTTCCTAACATGGATAAGGTAAATTTTCTTTTACAGGGCAGATTTATTTTCAGTATTCTTGGAAGTTTTAAAAAGAATTACGAAATGGGTCCAAGATTATATATGCTTAAAGCTTAAGGGAAGAGTTAGTGCTTAGCCGTAAAGTAAAGGAATTTGGATGCTAACTGTTGATGATTGTCAAGGCATTAATGGTACTCCTTAGTCCATAAACTATGGTTCTGCAGTCTTTGATTCGAAGATTCTGTGTATGATATGTCATTAGTTGCTGTATTATATTATGACAACAAACGTTTGAGGTTTCTGAAACTCTGTGGAAACGATGAAAGTACGGGAGAGTTATAACGCGAAGATTCGGGTATTTTGTATTTTCTTTGTTGCAGCAAACCAACACTGCAGACATGTTGGAAGAAGCTGTGGAGTACGTGAAGGCTCTTCAAAGCCAGATTCAGGTTTATCTGCATATTACTAATTGATTAGAAACACAAATTTATATTAAAAAAAAAGCATTTTTTTGATCATTTGATTTGGTTTTGATGGATTCAGGAATTGACAGAGCAGCAAAAGAGATGCAAATGCAAACCTAAAGAAGAACAATAATGTTTCCTTTAGGATTGATATATCTGTAATTTTTTTTAATATCTAAAAATGGTGATGATCTGTTCGAAAACTCGAAACATGATCCTATATATTGAACTAGAAAAAAAATAGATATATGAATTTTAGCTGTAAAATTTTTGTACAATAAGGAGAAAAGTTTTAGAAGAGTCAATAAAAAGATGTATGTTCTTTATGCATGTTGGGAATATATAAGAAGAGTCAACTTTATAACATTATTAACTATTGAAACATAACAGGGAAAAATAAGAAAGATGAGCTGATTTAGTTTTTGTGAGAAGTGACAAAAAAGGTCCATTGAAAGCAAATTTCTGAACGAATAAAAGAATATTCGGAGAGACTTAGCTAAACTTGGGGAAAATGGGTAAAAAAACCCTCACCTTTCTTAAAAACATAGAAAAAACCCTCAACTTTTTTTGTGGGTTTTTAAACCCTCACCTTTTTATAAATGGTTAAATAAACCTTAATATTAATAAACTCAATTTAATTTTTTAAAAATCATTATTTTAAAACAGTAAGAAACACAAACAATTTAAATTATTTTTTCTTTCCAATTCGAGTTTACAATTTTTTTTTCTAATATTAGGGTTTTTTGCGCTATGAACATTTCACCATTTAGTTGAGATTAGGCAAATTATTTTTGTTACAATTAGAAGTTATGTTATATAAACTACAAAAATTTATAGGATATCACATTTGAATTTTTTTTTATTCGAGTGTTCAGCTTTTGGATAAAATATGGTTAAATAATGATTAATTAAATATAATTTATATTATATTTTAATATATCATAATATATATATATATATATTAATTTTTAGTAAATCTTATTTAGTTTGTCCAATGAAAATATTTTGATGTGAAAATTCATGTACTTTTCATAGTATTATAAAATTTGGTTTGTTTTACGTTAGTAAATTTGTGTGATCGAATCTAATAAACCTTTATTAATATAAACTCATATTCGGTTTCGATATAAGAATTTACATATAATTCGTAACAAAATCTGTTTGGTTTCACCTTGATGAATTTTTGTAACACACCGAATAAAACTTTACTAATTAAATTTTTTACATCATGACTTTCATATTTTCAGTTTAGAAAAATATTGTAAGCTAGAATTTTAGAAGAAACAATAAATCAAATTGTTTATATTTATTTATGTTTTAGTATATCGTTTTTTTTTTAATTTAAATTAAGATTATTAATACTAGGGTTTATTTTACCATTTATTAAAAGGTGGGGGTTTAAAAACCCACAAAAAAAGTTGAGGGTTTTTTCTATGTTTTTAAGAAAGGTGAGGGTTTTTTTACCCATTTTTCCCTAAACTTGTGACCATTGGCCACCATTCCCACAATTGTCACTCACTCTAGTAGTAGGCATGTGCATTAAGCAATACACATTTTTTAAAAAAAGTTTAATCCAAAGAAAGCAATATCTTATTGTCAACGATAGTTGATTTTCCGAATGCACTAGATTTTTTTTTCGGGTTAGTATTTTTGATATTATACTTTCACTCAGTATTATTTGTTAAATATAAAATGGTAAAATAAATAATTTTAATAAATGAATGAAAGGAGAGCGCATATCAAATATTTTCTTAGTTAAAAAAACATGCGATTTTTTCTCTAATAAATTCTTTAAATTTAGATTTATTTTTACGTTATATAGTTCATCATAGTTTTATTTTTACATAAGATTATTGATATTTAAGAAATATCTAATAGTCGTTATTTTTTGCATGGTTTAATTGCTAGTCAATGTTCAACGATAATATATATGCATTTATCAAAATACTATCTTTGGTAACTCGCATATATATTTCATAAATGCATATACTAATATACTCTCGCAAAAATGTTCTAAAAGCTGAAAATACAAAAGTTCTAAACTCAATTGCAGACAATATATTGTTCGTCGGAAGGTATCACCATTTTTCTCGTGTTATCAGGTTAGTAAATATATATGTCACTGATAAATCTATACTTCATGAAAATGTATCATATCAAAAATAGATAATGATATCATACCTTCGCTAAGAACAATATATATTTATCAACTAGTTTTGATAAATAAAATCAAAAGCCAATTTTCAATATATACCTTCGCGAAAGTTTCAAATTTTTGCATAGTTTTTTAGGAGGGTGTATTCAAACAGTGATTTTTAAATTTTTTGGTTTTTTGTTAAAATCACCTGTTATTCAATTAGTGATTTTAAAATCTCTTCCCAAATTCCATGTTATTGAAACTGGAATTTATATAAAATCACTTCAAATAATTCCAAATCTCTTGTTATTCAATTAAAAATTTATAAAAACCAAATCAAATCCACTGTTATTCAAACTTCACAATTTTTTTTAAGAAAAATACTGAAAATAGATTTGGAGAGACTTTGAACACTTTTTAGTGCAAAAATAATAACAAAACAATACCACCTCTAGAGGTGGTATTTGGTTAAAAAGAAAGTCCAAAAAAAAGCATACTAACGACTGGTTCAATTTTTTCTCTTCCTTCTCGTCTTTCTATCTCTTTCAATTTTCTCTCTTCCTTCTAGTCTTTCTATCTCTCTCGATCTCGATTTTACTTTCAAGTTTTCTCTCACTCTCATATCAAGCATTCTCAAGTATCCAATCGAATCCACTTGTAACAGCAATGACGAATCGTTGCCGGAACACGACATGAACGATTCTCATTGCTATCTCTCTTCTTGATTCCAGATTAAACCATAATTTTTGTTAATTCCAGAATTGTAGCTTTTGATTTTTGTGCTTCGTCCTCAATCCAAAAACTCCAGAGTAGTAATATTACGCCTACGTATACTTATAAAGTTTGTTTTTATAATTTATAATATTTCATTAATAAATAAACATAGTGGGCTAACTTTTTTGGATTCAAGTAAAATTATGGGCTTCTCGTTTGTTTTTTTTGTTTTTCCAATTAGGGTTAATGGCTTGGTGGTGATATATATACACGATCAATGGCTTTGTTTTTCTTAGAGGAGGAACTTACAAAACTGATATCTTCAAGCTTTCATCCTCTTCTCTGTCAAAGTGAGTATTTCTCTTAATTATTTACGATCAATGGTTATAAAAAAAAAGAGGAATGAGTCGTTGACTTCTTCTTTTCTTTTTTACTAAATTCTCCCAAATTCTTTCAATAACTCTCACCAAATCACTAATGATTTTTCTTTTAAAAAAAAAAAAATCAAACAAATCAACCCAACCATCCTAAAATTTTACTCAAATCACTCCAAAACCTAAAATATAGAAATTCCACCAAACCCCTCCAAATATTTAATTCAATACACCCCCCTTAATCAAAATTTTTTTAATCAAATTTTTGCATAGTTCTTGACCATTATGTCCTCTTTTTTAATTATTATTTAAAGTTAATTATTTGTTTTCTTATATTTTTCTTCGATTAATTTAATGAGTTTCTTCGAACTTATTTTGGGGGTTCAAAAACAAATTCGTGTTTACTCAAAAAGAGAAATATGAATTAAGCTTTATAAAAAATATATTTTATGAGATTAATCAAATTTAGTAATTAGTAAATTACATGAATATTAGTCATTAACTTAAGTTTCAAATTTTGACCCATTTTTGTAAAGCGAGTGAGAGTTATATCATATTTGACTAATCTTAATTACTAGAATTTAGTCAAATATATAATCAAGTATAGTTTTAGCTAACAATTATTGTTTTATACTTGACTACTTATTATTTTTGAAATAAAATATATGAGTCAAATATGTATCATGAATAACATAGATAAAAAAAATTCTGAAAACAAATTTATTTATTCTTAATATTGAAATATGTTTTTGTGATATGATATAAACTCTTATATTTGTGATAGAAGTTTGACTCATATAGTTTTATTCTGAAGACAAGATAATAAGTGGTCAAAAACAATTTCTTGTACTTAAATATTTGTCAATTATGACACTAAATCTAGTCAAATATGATATAAACTCTTAATCACACTTTACAATAGTCAAATTTCCAAACATTAGTGTAATAAGTATTGACCAATTTTCATGCAATTTAATAGTTACTACCATTTTTAATCTATATAAACCCAATGAAATAGTTTCTAAATATTTTCATCTTGTTCTATCTCCAAAATGAGTTCTAAGAAAACCAAAGGAAGACAAAAAATTAACTTAAAAAAAAGTTGAGAAATATAAAGACCGAATGGTAACATTCCCAAGACGTCGAAATGAGATCTACAATAAGCTCAATGAGCTTTCTCTTCTTTGGGGTGCCGATGTCGGGTTACTTGTAATCTCAAGCACCAGAAAACCGTACACATTCGGCAACCCATCTTTCGAAGCTGTGGCAAAGCGGTTTTTCAATGGTAAGGGCTCCTCGTCGTTGCAACTTGCAACAAGATGCTCAACATAAAGTGAAGATGGAAAACTTTACAAATTCTACAACAATATTGTAGAGAATGTTCATATGGAGGAAAAGAAATTGATGACGGCGGTGGCCGAGGCGGAGGCATTACCGGTGGAGAGCACGCATGGTGGAGATTCGATCCGACATAGGTGAAGGAAGAGGAAGTCGCAAAGCAGTTGTTAGAGAAGTATGAAGAGCTTTAAGAGAAATTGTGTAAGGAGATTGTTGCAAGGAACCATGGAGGAGGGGCACCATAGATTTTAATATAATGAATAATTTATTTTATTTTATAAAACATTAATATTCACTAAATAAAATATAAAAACACATAATTTTTTAGAACTCGTGAAAATGCCAATGGGATAATTCTTTAAGATTTAAATTAACGTAGATAATTTTAAGGGATCATAAGTGAAACAAATATTGTCATCAATTTCCTTTCTCCGTATATACATTCTCTACAATATTGTTGTAGATTTTGTAGAGTTCTTCCATCTTTACTTTATGTTGAGCATCTTGTTGCAAGTTGCAACGACGAGGAGCCCTCGCCATTGAGAAACCGCTTTGCCACGGCTTTGAAGGATGGGTGGCCGAATGTGTACGGTTTTCCAGTGTTGGAGATTACAAGAAACCCGACATCGGTGTCACAAAGAAGGGAAAGCTCGATGAGGTTACTGTAGATCTCATTTCGGCGTCTCGAGAATGTTATCACTCGGTCTTCGTATTTCTCAAAACAAAAATTCAAGTTAGTTTCTTGTCTTCTTTTTGTTTT